ATCTCAGTTTTATGAAATAAAAATATATAAAAGTTGAATTGCTTTGCAGATTTTTGGCAAGATCTAAATATTCAAAATAAATTTAGTTTTTTTTTTTCTTTCAAATATTCTATATGTATATCATGTATAAATAAGTTTTATATTTAGGTAAAATGTAAATTTTATATTGGGAATTGTTTTATTCATATATTATATAATCAGATTTTTATCACATGTGTCAGTTTGAATTTTGTTTTGTTTTTTTGTTAATTACTATACATATATATGGGTTACAATGGAGTACTGATGTGGAGCTGTATCGAAGGCGTGTCTTAGTTATGGCTTATTGTGTATATATTGGCAGAAAAAACATTCTGAATAATCAGTGGGACATGTTTTGTATAATTAGGGGGTGTTAAGGCCAAACAAATCGTTTGTTTCTGGTTGGTACACACATCAGTTCCAAAAGCCACACTTTTTTTTTTTTTTTTATTTGAAACGAAAAAAAAACGGGAGATAATGTGGCTGCCATATGGCATTGATCTGTTTAGGCATGCGCAGATTAAATTTCTTGTGTAGGAAATTCCCATTCCAACCTATATATTGTATCTCCTGTGTAGGAAACAATTTAATAGAAATTAAAGGCTGATTAATATTTGGGATTGTTGTGCCGGAGGCAACTGTCCGAAAGGCCTGAGCAAAAGCATAGAAGAGAGAATTGACACCATCTGGCAGTAGAGGGCGCTAGTTAGTTGCATGTCAGTCGTTCACACAATCCAACTTTACCATGTGAATATTACAGAATATATTGTTATATATTTTTTTTTTTTACATTGTACTATATAAGATTTCTATGAATTCAAAACTTGCCAAATTTGCATAATTGAAAATACCCCGGTATTATTTTGTGTAGTGAATTTACTAGTTTCTAGAGTTTGAGCGATTCATATATTGCATCAACATGATTTAAAATTGTCATTTGCAGTTACAGAAGTGGAAAACGAATATTTGTAATTAACAAGATTGTTTGCTAAAATAGGATTCTTTTTAAACAGCTGTTTTTGTAAATTGCATACTATATTGTGCAAAGCAAATTGCTTTCTGTTTATTGTTGATGCATATAATGGCACATATGTCCATTTTTCATTTCGCATAAAATACCAGTTTAATGTTTAAAATGTATATAACAATAACTGTATTTTATACAGCATGTATATGGTACTTAAATATTAAACATTTTCTTAATACATTGTAAATGTAGTTTCCTACAGTGGAATACATCTAGGCTTGTCAAAGACCTATGTATAAATAACAAAAAAGCTGATGATACCAATGAATGAAAACAAATCATCACCCTAAACAAAATTATATGATTTTTTTTCTCCACTTGGGAAAAAATAAATTTGTTTGTTTCAGCGATATCTTATCTTTCTCAATTTACACAAATACACTGTAGGCATCGTGTGAAATGCTCTGTAAAGGTCAATGAACTTAATGTCAATTTTTTTCAAGATTGATGCATTTAACTCACATACTGAACTAAAAAGCTCTGAAGAACTACAAATCCTTGAAACGTTCCATCAAATAAATGAAATAAAAAAATGATTATCCCATAGTTTACAGTGTGGCGGTCATCCTGCAATGTGTTGGATACAAGTACAAATATTTTTCTATATATTCAGAATACTCGAAAAGCTAGCCACAGGGAACGTTTCAAAAGTGTTTGTTAGATGCATCCCTCTTTAACACAAAGATTCAAAAGCATTCCATAAGTAGAAGTATTACACTACACTTATATTAATGAACATATCTAACAATTTTAAGAATGTAATGTTTGCATACCATTAATCATGATTTTCATGAAGTGCATGTTCAATTTTTCGTGTGAACAAAGTATTTTACATGTGCTGTATGCATCACTATGGGATCAAACATGGCTTGATCACTATCATCCTTGAATGATTGCACAATTTACACAATAGACACCACTTACTTACACAAGTTTTTTTTCAGGCAATCACATTAGTATTTGTATTAAACTTTTTGATCAGATTTTACAATCTATTTTTTTATGATGAATGTTCATAATTGTTAATAAAGCTGGAATTATTAAAAAAAAACAGTTGTCTGTATCGTGTGTTCCCAGTAGTAATTGTGATTATTATAATGGCAATTACTACTATCATGTCAAGTATTACCTGATCAATTTCAGAAATCAAACCAGTTCGTCATGACATGAAAAACGAATTTGCATATGCATAACATTGTCTTGCCTTTGTACCTACTTTGAACAAATTCGGTCAAAGCATGTCTGAGAAATAATTAATATGTGAAAATCAAAATGTGGTCACCAAATCAAATCACAAAAAAAAAAAAGAGCATTGGTATAACCAATAATGTACCAAAATAAATTTTGAATAAAATGAGCCCAGGCATGCCAGAGAACTTACAATGGTCATTAGTCAGGTTAAATGTCACTGAAATCAAGTAACAGAAGTGATGTTATGCATTGCCTATATACCGGTACCTTAAAAAAAAAGTTTATTTGTAAAACAACCTTATTTTGAATTGACATGCATCAGTAGTCCCAACATTAGTGAAATTGTTACAAATATTGATTTTTGGTATCAGTCGATTAATTAAACAAAAAATAAATGGATGTGCATGCCACTATAACTCAATTTGTACCTACATTGACCAAAATCTGTCTGGCAAATGTCAGACTGTTTGAAACCCAAAACATAAAGATTCCTTTTCAGACTATGTCTGACGGGGACTGATAGTTGTAAATGGTAAAACAAATACCATTACAAAGAACTGCATTGAGAATGACTATGAATATGAAACTACTGGACACTGCCATCTTCGCAAGCCAAGATTTATTTATTTGGCCATGGCTCTAGGGGGGGGGGTATGTTTACATCAAGCACATCCAAATATTCAGTATTCCGAAATCACCTTTTATCTCCAGTTTATTTATGAAAAATATACAAACAGAAATGTCATAACATTGAAGTCATCAAAGCCATATACATGTATATTATAAATTAACATCATAGAAGTAAATACATTGTACATACAATTGTTTAGCTTATACATTGTACAAGACATTATCAGAGATTTGCTAGTGGATTGAAAGATACCCAGTACTGCAGATCATGGCAAATACTCGCAGGTTGTCTGATGTGTGATCACTTAGTAGAATGAACGAGGTGCCTACAAAACCCAATCCAATTATTTAGTTTGGATTTCAGATGAAAACAAGTGGGTTTAAAAATATATATATATATAAACATGGGTTGACTCGTGCAATTTTTATTGGTGTTGACAATTGGTGTATTACAAAATTGACATTTTTAATTTATGGAAACTGCTGCTACAATGTCATTTGTTGCATTTTTTTCTCTCAAAACATATCAACAGTAAAGAAAAAAGTCTACACACTGTTGACTCGATACTGAATCAATTGGTTTTACATACAAGACCAATTCTTACATATATTGCCACTATTGCATGTAAAATGCTAAAATATGTGCACAAGTCCAGGCAGCAGGGAAGGTTCTCCTATGCAGTTTGTAATTTCAAAATAGACCTGATGCAGAGAAATGTTTCAATAAATAACACAAGACTTTGGATTTGTTCAGTTTATGGTTGACCAATTGCAAGATTTGATCTGATTGCATACAGCACAATAGACATGTGATGTTACCAAGACAACATTTATTTTGAGTGAACAACCGCATGGCCAACAATATCAAGGCAACATTATCTGCCTATCAGTAACATGTAATCTATACCGGGTTATATTATCTCAAGTCTGGGGGGTCTCCCCATAGCATTTTAGAATAGGAACCCTGCCTATTCTACATTTGTTGATAAATAAGAGCTTAATTATTATGAAATAGAGGTAATTAAGATATTCTAATGTAAGCAAATTAGCCAACGTGCTATGTTATTATCCTGGGAGAACATTAAATTATGATGCCCATATTGTAAATTAACTAGTTCCACACACACAGAATCCACTGCTTCAAAATCAAGCCACAAGACTTGTATCTTGGGTACAACATTTATTTAAAACATTTACAACCATCAATAAGGAGTAAAAAAAATATTTAATTTTTAATCAAAATAGTCTTTTATCAGTCTAAATGTTCATGATCATTTTGTGAACTACGGGGTACATTATTTTCCTGATCATTAGAATTTATTGGTGAAGGATTTGAAGGATCAGGAACAACAGCGCCCTCTGGCAAATGTACATGTCTATGGTGCAAGTTTTCATTGTCAGGCATTTGATCATCATTAGCATTATTTACATCACCTTCAGGGGGTGCATCATCTGGTTTTTCAGTTTGGTAAATATCAGAATGACAGAGAGGGCAATTGTCCTGTACATAAAGCCACTTTCGTAGACATAGGCTATGAAAAAAATGATTGCAAGGTGTAATTCTCGCAGTTATTAGGTCCTGGTAGCAAATTGCACAGACATCATTGCGATCACTCAGCTGGTCCAGTGTGGCTTCAGGTAAAGAATTAATCTTTTTCACCGCAGTGCGTCGGTTCATAAAAATCTTCCAGCCAGACTTTGCTTGTTGCCAAATATTGAAATAAGCGTGTATGCACATCATAACAGCACGAATGGTGCCTCCCGATTCAAACACCATTATCCAGGCACCATTTCCGAAAAGAAATATTCCAAATAAAAATTCCACACTGTTACCAAATGCCTTTATATAATAAACATAGTCATCAAGGCCTTCCCAAAATGTGTTTCGATAAGCATCAATGATGAATAAAGAGTATACCATTAGAGAGATTATGACTTTAATGCAGACTTCCACGCAGAATGCACTGACAGCCAGCAACCATGTACTGATATGGTAATTACTCCAAAGATGAATCATCAACCATGGTGCAACAACCAGAAGTATTAGGCAAACAGACACCACCCTTAAATGTCTATACACCGACAAGTTGTGGGACGCACTCAGAGACATGAGGACTGGGTTCACCATATTGTGTACAAAATGCATGATTGCTGTTAGAAGAAGACAGAAATTACGATACAGTCGAGTAAGACGCTGTTCCGGTGCTAAACCAGACAAACCAGTCTGCAGTGCCAGGATGAAGAAGAGAATCGCTGACACAGTTCCCATATGTTTTTCCTCATCAACGTTGCTGCCAATTATGCTCTGTATGAATATCCCAACATGGTGTGTGATTGAAGAAACAACAGCACTCATCCCAAGCACTGTGAGAGTGGAATCGCAACCACTGATCATAAGATTGGTGAATATTTGCCATACTTTTCCAGCATTCAACAAGTCAAACTTATCCTCTTCCTGAGACATCACCATAATGGTGAGAAATACACACTGCAAAGCAAATCTGCTCAGCCAAAAGACGCGTAAGACAGTTGGCACATGTAATCTCTGCCACTGATCCTCTAAGAAAATTTGCAGTCCATAATTACGAATGATGTGTTTCACGAGCATCAGTGAATATTTTGTAGTATAGTATATCCATGATATTTTCATTGCGACAGTTGCTACTAATGCCAACATTGGTGCAGCAACCGCAAAATACTGCGAAAATGTATATACTGCATACTGCGAAGTATTAGTTTCTTCCAAGTCTAGAGGTAGATTAAGTCTTACTATCATGGGAAATAAGAATGCGGTAAACACCATCACCTCTGTTATGAGAAAATGCTGTGTTCGTATCGTCACAGTGAAAACAGTTGCATAGGCAAGTTGCACAAACAGATACATTTGAAAGTCAGAGCTTTCTATAAAGTCCCTCACAGATTGACTTTCTTCAATGGCTTCATTGAACTGGCCGATGAAAACCTGATTCCACCAGGATGACGTGCCCAGGATTGATATTGCAATGACGGCACCATAAAATTTTAATAAAACTCTGATTGATAAAAAGAATGCCACAGATGCAAGTACTAAACCTGTTGGAGAAAAGAAAGGAAACATAGTTACAAGTATTATATTTTGAGTCATGTTAAATCTTTTTTATACATTTGAAATCTGTCAAGGCACATTCAAGAAATTTTTAAAAATTGAGATTGGATAAGTGGTGAGCAGAATTTGCTGAGTAAACCTTAAATCAGGTAAGGATACTAGTAATTGATGTAAATTGTGAAAATCTAGGGAAATCTTTCTATGTCTGAAAGTATCCAGAACTTTTTGTTTACACTTTTTATTTTTCAATATAGCACTATATGCATTTCCAACTCATGATTTTTTAAAATAGTAGCTGACTTTTCTACCCTCATTTAGTTCAAAGTGGGGCCCGTCAAGAAGAAAGTTTGCTCACCATTTACGATGAGGATTCCTTACCTTTCCTTAATGAGCAAAATTTTATTAATTTGAAAAAAAAATATTTCACACCATTTACTTACCTCCCTTATAAAACTAACATGACTGCTAGTTAAATCACAAATCAAAATATCTGACATATTCAAGTTGTTCATACTCGTATCTTGTTATTTGAAAATGACTGGAGAGCTGAAAATGGCTCTCCTGAACACATTTACTAGTTCGCAAATTTAAACTTTTGGGGCATTTTCTTTATGTTTAGGCAATCTAAGTGTAGGTTTTTTTTTTCAAATTACCGGATTCGGCTGATACCCCGCCCTGGGCGATCTTATGGAGGTATCGATTTTTTTTTTAGAAAAATGTGGACCGATCTTTTGGCAGATATTACGAGGCCCATCTTGTCTGGAAAAATAACCCTGCGTTGATAGAAATGGTCTAGAAAAATAATGTTTCGCGTTGACCAAATATAATCATGCAAAGTATAAATTCAAAGTGTTTTAATACATTGGTGAGAGGTCGCATTTTACGTGAACAAGAACATGCACTAAGAAGGAAAAGCAAGTCAAAGTCGAAACGGGGTGCATCATGGACATGACACAACACACGCTGCGACAACTGAGTGATTAGCGACATAATTTTGGGGCGCAAATGAACTTGAAGTACTTCTTTGCGAAACTTGCTGCGCGGTGATGCGGTGATTAAGTGTGTGTTGACCGAAGTTTGACCCCAAGTCACGCGCTGAACTGGTGCGTTACCTTAGCAACCTTTTTCTTTTGCGGTCCGCGCGTCGATCTAGTAAAATTTTTATTATAATCCGAAGGTACTGTAATTACGCAACTTGTATGCAATTCTGTACTGGCTTTGAATATATCAACGTCGTTTACTGAGTGCACTGCTTTTCTAATTACGCAAATTTGTTTACAATATTGTACCAGCTCTGAATATTTCAACTTTGTATTAAATGTATTGCTTTCATGATAATTACGCAAACTCAAGTTAATTTTTACTATTGTTAGGGCACTGACCCGGGGTATTGGGTCTGTGAATATTTCAATAATACCGACTTGATAATGCCTTGCATTCGTTATAATTACGCAAACATAAACATTGGCGCACTTCGATCGCTATATTCACGTACATTTCGACTGAACTCTAATAACCACGCGTTTGAGTTCACGCACTGATATTTAAATTCGGGCCACCCAGCTTGACGCAAATCAATATTGTTACTTGTCATGCGTTCAAAAAATCTTTCAACTCTCACAAATACCATGAACGCGAAGAGCTAACTGGGGGTTAACTGAAAGAGAACGTCTTTTTGGGAGAAAAAACACGTCAGTACAAGATTATGTGTACAAGGTTAGCTTTATAGAACGTACATGACGTAACGTACGTAAATCAATATAGTTACTTGTCATGTGTTCAAAAAATCTTTTAACTCTCACAACTACCATGAACGCGAAGAGCTAACTGGGGGTTAACTGAAAGAGAACGTCTTTTTTGGAGAAAAAACACGTCAGTACAAGATTATGTGTACAAGGTTAGCTTTATAGAACGTACATGACGTAACGTACGTAAATCAATATAGTTACTTGTCATGTGTTCAAAAAATCTTTTAACTCTCACAAATACCATGAACGCGAAGAGCTAACTGGGGGTTAACTGAAAGAGAACGTCTTTTTTGGAGAAAAAAACACGTCAGTACAAGATTATGTGTACAAGGTTAGCTTTATAGAACGTACATAACCGCTTAACTCTGCGTGTTTTTTTAATAATCATGTCGCATGTGAAACGCAGGAGACATTTTAGTTCACCCATTTCTTGTTTACCGACATTTTGTCTGGAATGCGATACAGACAAAGATTAAACATTACTGATAACAACCAAGAGGCTCGAACTAGGAAGGCTTGGATATTTTAAACTTCGTAAATAACATTCTTTTCAAGCGTAGGCTTTATTCGAGTGTAATAATACGCAACAACAATTCGTATAAAGCATTGGTTTTATTGAAGTTTTTAATGCTTTTCGGCTTCACAGTGAATTATTTTAGCGTCATATTTGAAATAGCGCGCTCGATACAAGATGTCGGACGGGAAAATTGGGGTCTGTAAAAATGTTTGTTGGTTCAGTCAAGCAATGTGTGGACCAAAACATCGCCCACTATTTGAAACATCGCCCATGGGTGGGGTTTAGGATGGGCGGGGTATCAGCCGAATCCGGTATTAAGGTCATTATGAAGTTTATTTATCAAGAAATGGTTTGGTATGTATCATGAAAACTGTATTTTTCAAAAGATTACTACGGATCCCTATTCCACACAAACGCTGAACACAGTAACGAAAGTGACAGAGGGAGCTACGTGTATGCCATTAAAATCACTACAAGTACTGGGTATGTGTACAATATATTTAGGGGCCCAAGCCTGTAGGGCGTGGCCCCTATTCTTATCGTCCGGTTTTTTCTTCTTTCTTTTTTCCGTAACTTTTTTGTCAAGCCGTTTGAGAAAACCGCTGAACAGAATGGTCTGATAATGCTCTATACTGATAGTCCCTAATGTGAACTGGTGCAACATGCTTTCAGAATTTCGATTGGTCAATTAGTTTGCCAGCCATATTGGATTGAAATAAAACCGGAAGTGGCTGTTTAACCACTTTCTGAGGGTTTAGGCGTCTTTTTTATGGTATATAGTACAACTCATGTGTAATAGATATCAGCAATAAAAACTTTAGCGGTCATGTGACTTTTCCCGCCATTTTGTTTTATCCTAAAAACGGCAAAAAACACTTAAAAATCAGAACCACCAAGCAGAATGTTCTCATATGTAGTATTTTGCTTCTATATATGAAGCTCACTTACGTTTGAAAAAATTGTTATGATTGGTCACATGGTTTGGCCACCATTTTGGGTTTCTTCTAAACAGGAAGTAGTTTTTTACTCATGCCACACTTGAGGGATTACGTTCAATATTGCTGAATGGCATCTCTATATCAAACTCTTTCAGAAACTTTAAAAAGATTTCAGATCAATCACATGGTTTGGCCGCCATCTTGGATTTTAGGCAAAATTGACAAAAAGTTTGGACATTTGTTTTTCAGAGGTGATTCAACCAAGTAACTGCTGGTTTTGAATATAACATGCCTGAACATTGCTACATATGAGAAAAATAATATATTTTCGATATGTCACGTGGTTTGGCCGCCATCTTGGATTTTGTGAAAATGAAACTTCTGCAATTACATGTGTTGTATTGGTCAGATTTGGCTGAAATTGTGTATGTCAATTCTACTCAAAGTCACATTCTTTTCCCTGAATGTCACATGGCTAGGTCGTGTGGCTACACGCCCATGGGGTGGGGGCTTCTAACCTCATTAATATGCATAACTGCTATATCTTGAGCACTGTTGTAGTTAGGAAGATGAAACCTGCTGAATTATGATGACGTTAAACAAGAGATTTGAATAAAATAACAGATGACCATATATGGTCAGGTGGACTCATTAATATGCATAACTGTTATATCTCAAGCACTGTTGCAGATAGGAAGATGAAACCGGTGTTATTATGATGATGTTAAACAAGAGATTTGGCTAAAATAACAGATAACAGAACTCATTAATATGCATAATTGTCATATCTGAAACACTGTTGCAGAACAAGACATGCAACCAGTGCCATAATGAAGACATCAACCAAAAAAATTAACTCATATAAGAGAATATCATTTATGATTATGTAACCTCATTGATATGCATGAGCACATGGCTCCTTGTATATTCTAAAAACCGTATCTCAATAACCGAACCAGGTAAATAGAAGGAAGCATCAGCATGTCAACCTCATTGTACAAATCATTCAAAGTACTTTAATGGCAATTCGCTGAATTATGATGACATTAAACAAGAGATTTGAATAAAATAACAGATGAACATATATGGTCAGGTGAACTAATTAATATATGCATGAGCACATGGCTTCTTGCATATTCTAAAAACAATATCTCGATAACCAAACCAGGTAAAAAGAAGGAACCATCGGCACGTCAACCTCATTGTACAAATCATTCAAAGTACTTTAATGGCAATTCATTGATCACTTTAATTACATAATTCGTCTGATAGCTTGGGCCCCTGTGACGCTGCTTGCAGCTTTAATCTGAAGTTAGAGTTATGTTTAGCACTCTGATTTGTGAGAGTGATGTGCGAGTGGCAGGCATGACTGTGAAATGATTGGAAGCGAGGATAATTCGCTGTCGTAACGCTGTTATGAAACACGAAATACTTACCTATAATACTTAAAATTACTGCCAAAACAGGCCGGGTATGCCATGGTAGAGGAATTTGATAATTCAACAGTGCATCGACCATAAAAACTGATGGTACACGTAAAACAACGTCTAAAATAGCGAGGACTTTCAATTTTATATAACTCTGGGCAGGTTGGTGAGCTATTCCATGAATTCCCTGCATGCTGTTTGACACTGACAACTCGATTTCTCGAGAAAATATCCAAAAATTACGCGACAGTATGAAAATGTTACTTCAGAAAGAAAATTTCACCGACTGTCTTTCGCCATTGCACTTCCGGGTTACTGGCTCGTCCATGTTTGAGGTCCACAAATTGTACTCAATATGATCTGCCACACCATCAGTCAACTACGAATATTATTTTTACCTAGTAGTATTTGATGTGAACTAAGTCATTATAAATTATCAAAGTTGTCTCTTGAACAATCCCTAAAACATAAATTTCTCAACATAAATCTTGTGAACGAGGATATACACGCCATCAACGTTAAATTCAATGTGTTAACCTAACTAGTAAATTTGTGTAAACCCTATTTGCGGTATATTGCCTTTCCCGTAATTATTTGTTGCTGTTTTTCGTCGTTTACATCAAAATGTAAATCCTCCTTAGTCTTCTTATCCCTCAATTCTATGTGATGACTACGAGATTGGTAACGTCACGAGGTCAACAAACTTTGCCATCTGCCAATCTTCTGGGGGTGTTGGATGGGATATTGATTCAACCAAGTCATGTCTGTCTCTGGTTTTGTGAGTACGAGATTTGAAGATACATATTGAGCAATGGAGCAGGATCGGGTCCAGGACCGCCTGAAACGATGGGCGAATGCTCTGGTGAGGGTCCCGGCTGTCTTCTTGTTGGAAATACTGTATCGTGTTGATCTTGTCGACGTGTTGCAGGCGGAGGCGGAAGTTGTGAAATGGACCTTCATCGATATCAGCTACGTGGCAACAGTTATGAAAATTCTTGGTATGTACTGTCACTGAAATTATATAATTGCATTGGTATTACATGATGGGTCCGTATTCCTCGTAACCTTAGAGATATTGTCTGTCATGTGAACGAATGAATAACATTTGTGACGTCACATTGACAGTTTAATCTCAAAACAAACTTCATCATAATGTTTCTTCCATCTATAAAATGTATTTATTCTTGTTAAAATTGTAATATAAAGTTTACAGGAAAAAAATTGGAAGAAAAACAAAAATTAAATAAAAATTGTAATGAAAATTAATAAATCACTCTCAACATTACAAACCTATTTCCTTCATGTTCATAAATGTTAATGGTTCATGTTGTGAAATCCAACCAGCCAATCAACAAGCGTATTGTGCAACATCATTTGGAAACATTCAAATGTTATTCAATTGTTTCAGTTTGAATTTACAAAATTTATGCATGTTTATAAAGGTAAATTGAATGGGTTTGTTTTGCAGAGTATATATTACATGTACTCACAGTCACTCTAGTAGAGTGACTGCGATGTACTGGTACTGGTAAACAAACATTTATAAAATTCAGGTATATAACTGGTGCCTTATGCGATTAATAAGATCCATTTGAAGTCGAGTGAATCGTGAGATCATTACTAATGCAATAAATGTCTGAAAGAAATGGTTTGTGTGTTTTTTTGTGCCCAATGCTTATTAGTATTTGCAGAGCTTGTATTAAGTTACACATAATAATAATAATAATAACCTTTATTATAACCGTAAAGAAGTTACAATTCTTTTTTTCGGTTTGTAAATAATAAAGTTTTTTTTTTTTGATATGGTGTATATAAACATCAACTTAACTACTAGTTAGTGCTAGTCTTTTAGTAAAAGCATTATTTAAGTATTTGATAACATGTCTAAGCAGAAATGGCTCTGTCGTGTTTAAATTTTCTATTTTCTAATGAGGCAATAACCTCAACAAAATCCTAAAAAAATTTTAGTTTAACATATCACGTGAATTACAATGTTCATGTGTCAATTTAATCTATGTTGCTACATTACACTGTATTATAAAAATGGTTTACACAGCACAAACAAGTATCATTAGGCCATGCCCTACAAATTTGCAATTTACAATAGTGGCGTTAACATTACAAATGGGACTGAAATTCAACATGTGCTGACATTTACTACTTGAATGCTTGGTATGAATCAAAATCATTCCCTTGGCAGTGAATTTAAGATAACATATACTGATTCATACTAGTACATGTATGACATGGCAATGCTGCTAGATATGGTTGGATGCAGTAGCAATGAATGAAATGAATGCCGAACGTTGTCGACTACTTATATTCATGTAATATATATTCTTCTTGCAATTCTACATCGATGTGAAAAATTAACTGTTCTGCAAATTCTTCTTTTCCATTCATGTCCGTGATGACTTATAATAAATACCAAATACATATGATTTCAATAAAGTAATTATTTTTATCATTGTTTGTGTATCATCTGTCGTGTTTAGGTCGATGTACAAATCAACGAATGAGGGCGTGATTTCGGCATGAGCTCAGTCGAAACGTATACGCTGTAATCCTTCAGCAAATACAAATGATTGAAATTTTCGGCACATGCCAAGATTCTGTAACACGAACTTAGTAAATATTTCAAAATGTATAATGCCATTGTTGTAGTCTTTTTTAAGATAGCAGGCCCATTTTGTATTGATTGTGATTTTACATAGTAATATCAAAATTTGGATTTTTTTGCACAGTATAAAGCAATAGTGTCAGTATCAAGTACAACAATTCTTTGTACCATGTCGTTTTATACATGTACATGTGGCAACATAACTGCTCACTGTCCCTAGGTTATCGCATTTTGTTTATGAGGAGGTGTCCAGGCCTCATGTTTATTCATGTATACGCAAGGGTTGTAAATGCAATGTAGAGATGTAGCAAACATGGAGTAGGGCAAGGTTCACAGTCTAGAGTAAGTCACACAGAAGTCCTGGCAGGTACATGTAAACCCTTAGGTAACAGAGTTCCTGATAGTGACCGAGTATTAGGTACCAGTATATAGGCAGTAATTATTAAAAAGCAATAACCTTTTTGGCCCTATGATCATCATCACCCAGTCTGATGTGGTACTATGCCTGTACTTTATACAGGTAAAATTTCTATTACAATGGCTATATGTAGATTTTCTTGTGACCAGGTGTTTATAAAAATAAACCTGGTGAAAACTGATGGTATAACTTGTTTACAGTTGTATCTGTATCATTATACATAGAGCTATTAATACATTGTAATACTGTCATGTATTTGTTGTCATACAGTTATGTCATGTACAACAGTTCTGTTAACGATATTGTTCATATTTTAATTATTATTTGATTAAATGTGTTTTGTTTGATATGGGTCCCATATTAAGATGTGTACACTGCTTGTAGAATAAATTGAACATGCTCTGCACGATGACCATCATCTTTTAATCATTAATGGCTGCTGAGGTCAATGTCAAAATACATTTTTGATTCACACTACTCCGGTAATTTCATGAGCAGTACGACTACAGATATGACTGTGAATTATTAACAACATCCCCTTTATATCTTCATAAAATGTTATAGAACTAGTGCTTCTTGACAAATTCTGTGTTTTTGCTGTCTGTAGCATTTTCTAAGAGGTTCATGTACATGAACTGATACAAATGTATTTGTGATGGTATACAAGGTCTCCATTTTTGTTTTAGATCAGATTCAAAATGGCCAACTGGCAGCCATACTTGTTCCCTGAAATTGCATTAGTTATCAATAGTATTGATACAGTACAGTCAGCTGTACTCTCAAGCTTATTATTATTTTGAAGATATTTATAACGTGACTGCTTGAATACAATTGCTAGATTTTATAAATGTTCAAGAGTGTTCATGGTCTTTCTTATGATCTGATTGAGCCATATGTTACAGGGCTAGGTGTATGATAACATAAGGTTATTATGAGGATATCTGTATCTCAAAGTACAGTGTATGCACGAAAACAGTACAGAGGGAGTATTGGCAGACGCGCAGCGGAGGTTGATGCAATGGCCTACTTGCATACTTTGAGGTACATGTATCCTCATAATAACCTTATCATTATACATCTTACCCTTCTAAGGATACATCATGGGAATGTCGAAATCCAAAAAGTTTAGAACAGAATCAGTGGACTTCTTTGTGTGGAGTCCGGCCAAACCCTGGTGACAGCCATGTTTGTTTTTATTATTAAAGGATGTTTATGCGCGTAATCGTTCCATATTTAGAATTCGCATTTCCTTATATGGTAGGATGAAAATACCTTGTAAAATACCGCAAAATTATGGCACGCTGCAACTTATGGCGTTATATATGGTGACATATGTATAATTATACATGTTATCTTCAATAAAAACCCATAATGTTACGCCTTCAATTTTTTCTACATTCAGCACAAAACTCTTTCTAAACCTTTTGTGTTCTCTCGTCCTTTTTAAGGATGGTGACGCTGCCAGACTTGAATTTTCAATAAGCATTGATACATGTATGCTAATTATGTTCGTTATTTCAATATTCATATAAAAAATGGTAAAAACATTGACTTTCTCTGATTTTGGTTTCCACTATAATCTAAAATAAGCTAATTGGCTACATTTTTATGTTTTGTTTCAGGTTACTTGTCAGCTTTCATGGCTCAGATTTTATCATTCCAACAATTATTAAATCTATATGCATACATGTTTACTGGTGTACTTCTGATTGGTGCTCATTATCTCTCCAATAATTACATTCAAATGGAATTGGAGTCAGGTTACCATGGTTTCATCTTTACTGATGTAGACTGCTCACAGAGATGGATCAAGTTCACTATGGCTCAACTCTGTATCATTTTATCCTGCACCCAGTTAATGAGTTGTGAGAAGTACTGGACGTTCACAGCATATCTACTACCGCTTATCTTGAGAGCGGCTTCAATCATCCCACTTTCGGAGCTACGCACTGTTCACACGTTTGCTATGGCTTTCACAACTCTACAACTAACTTTCTTTATGATCAAGTATATTTTTATTCCATATGACCTTGCTATGGCAGGATACCATACACTACAGGAGTACATGGAAATCTATGGGTTCGTCAGTGTCGTTCTTGCCATGTATAGCCGTTTGTTTGTCCCCATTGTTTATCTCATTTTCTGGCTCATTTTGTTCTGCATCCAGCTTTACTCGTACTTCTCGAACAAAAGTCATCCCATATTTAATGAAAACTGGGTGATTGTCTTACTTGCTGCCATTGCTGATTGCTGTGACACCCCCTGGAGCTTGGTGGGTTTGTGTTATACTGTGTCATATGTGGCGTATTTCATACTGACGATGTGTAAAGTGTACTTGCAGGGGATAGAAGGATTCGTAAATCATAACATGCTACATAGGGGCTGGACTGAAGGCATCACATTGCTGCTATTGTCGCTGCAGACGGGATTGCTGGAAATGAAACGCGTACAGAGAATTTTTCTCCTTAGTATTGTACTTTTTGTGGTTTTCGCCTCAACTGTACAATCTATGCATGAAATCACTGATCCGATATTGATGTCACTGACAGCCGCACATAACCGCAATCCAATCCGCCATTTACGCGTGCTCACTATGTGTGTTTTCTTGTTTGTGTTTCCATTGTACATGACGTACTTGGTGTGTACGTTCTTTGACCCCGAGTTCTGGTTACTCATAATCGTTTCAAGCTGTATACTCACGTCCATTCAAGTACTCGCTTCAACTGTGACATATGCGCTTTTTATGATTGACAGTCATCGCCGAGAACCCTGGGAGAATTTAGATGACATTGTGTACGCCATTAAGGGATTTTGCAGGATTTTAGAATTTTTAGTCGCAATTTCTGTTTTGTTGTACGGTGGGATGGAATCATTTTATAGCGAGTACAGTATGATTGGAGCAGCTGTTATCATTGTTCATTGTTATTTCAACGTCTGGCAGCGGGCACAAATGGGATGGACAAGTTTCCTGTCACGCAGAGATGCAATGAGGAGAGTCAGTTCGTTGCCACTGGCAACCCAGGAGCAACTAGATCAACATAATGATGTTTGTGCAATATGTTTTGAGGAATTGTTAAATGCAAGAGTCACTCCATGCGGCCATTATTTCCATCCATTGTGTTTGCGAAAATGGCTCTATGTGCAAAATAAATGCCCTCTTTGCCACCGACCTATTGTTGGGGTGCAACTCAATGAAACTACTCCTGGAGAAGAAAATTTATACAATGCCGAAAACTTGCACTTTGAAGATGTGGTTAGAAATGTGGATGATGTTGTTGGTAACCATGGTGAACGCTGAGTTTTTTATTATTGCATATCAGAATATTGAAAGACATATCTAAAAGTAACATTTTACTGTATATTTTTTCTTGTACTGCATAAACATGACCAACAAATTAAAGGATTTCACATAATATGAAAGCTAGTAAATTGCCAATACTATGCGCTGCAAATAGTCAAAACTCATTCTTGTTGATCCATCAATAATACATAAAGCCTTGAGATGAATCTGCCTGATCAAGTCTTTACATATGTGTATCAATCAAAAATATTCCATGTTTTCACAGATTTGGACGCATTGTCTGAATGACACACCCACCATGGATTTTTCACTTCAAGGAATTCAGGACATTTTTATGTAGAAAATTAACTATGAACATGATTTTTAATGCTGGTTTCTTGTCTACACATACCTGAATTACAAGCGTCATGCTAAACAAGTTTGATTCTGTTCTTAATACCGGTAATATATGAAGTATTCTGTGCATATTCAATTAGATTGTTATTGTTGAAACTAAGGACTCTACTATGATGGACATGTTTGAGTAAAGTGATGGGCTAGTCCATCTCTTGCCCAATAATGTGTACATCCCTGTCCTTGCCATTTTATCACACAATTATGGGAAGTGTGTCCTCTTTATTCCATGCTGTTGTGGTTTTACTAGATAAGAACTCTAATGTGTGCGAGATTCCACATGAATATTGAGATAGCCAAAACTTGCCAGTACATGTATGGACCCCTTATTATTAAGATCTAATATCAGCAACAATAGGTTAACTTTATTGTATAGAGACAGACAATTTAGTCTGTGGACTTTGGAAGTGATTTATGCAAATCAGGTAATCTGGTTAAATTAGATTGTCACACTGCTGTACATTGATAGTGTGATCTTGTTGTCGTATGTATGGAAGTCAACAACTAACTGTCGCGTGGGACTGAGGTCAACGTTCATTTACTCATCGGGTGCTTATCTCTATCTAACGTCCACGCTGGAAATCACTATTTAAAGCATTGGTTGGCATGCCACGTAATAAACAATTCTCTGAGATGAGATATAAATTAAATTCATACAATAAATTTCATGTTTTTAGGTCTGGTTTATTTCTGCTATCCAAAATCAAATTTATTTTCCTTATTGGTAAGCAACAAAAGAGCAATTCAGATGGTCCTTGGTCATCTGGAAACAGGCAAGGCATGCTGTTTGGCGCCCTCTAGTGGTGTCATTTTATTTATAAAATGATTTACTTGATTTAAAAATAAAATAGTCTTGCCTATTTTTTCAGTTCTTTGATTGTCTTGTTCAGTGAAGAGTGCGTATAAATGATAACTTTTTTCTCAATTCCTGCAGATACATAATTGCTTTTGTACCACAGGTATGTTAATCTCCATTTTCAAATTTAAAAGGCAACTACTGAAACCTACAAGGCCTATTTATATTCAGTATACAATGCAATGAGAAAGGCATTGTGTGAATGAGGAAAGTTGGTGAACAAAGTGGGGACTTGTATAATGAATGATCTTCCATGAAACTTTCTATAAACGTGACATGGTGGATTGTTGTCACATATGGTTTTGCATTTTAGTTCATTAATTTTTCAAAAACTAGAGAATTTCAAACAATATGTATCTGTGAAATAACTGGTGCGTATGGATGTAGATAACCCATACAAGATGTGGTTGCAATCACCTTGTCCAAAAGTAGATTTCATGCCAAGCTAAACTATTTTTAATTTGCAAGATACAAAAACATGTTTTGACTAACATTATGTACGAGTTGATGGGAGTATGAAATATTAGTAACTGTATACAGTTGCATTTGAGCAATATTTTCGACTAACGATTCATCAAATAAAAAAAAATGCCACACAAGTATGAAGGGTGCCCTTTCATCCTTTAAGATGAAACTTCCCACAAGCGAGGTTAATACGGTAAGTCATGTAACATTGAAAACAAGTTTCTGATGTTAGTTGTAATTTTGATAGGCTCCGTATACTTGATGTTGAAAACTGTCATTGCTGTACAATCTCTCCAGAAAATCAACATGCGAATATAAATGAGGTAAAACAAAATAGTGGATTTATATAAATTAACAGTCAATGACCACGAGTGGTATTACTTTATTTGGTACAACTATTTGTTGAACAATTGTATGTAAAAACTAATAGGATAAATAAACCAATCACTGAACACAAGGAGGGAGGAGGGCTCATCTATATCACCTGCTCTGATTAGCTATTGGCAGAATAAATAGGCCAATCATAAATACCATACTGTCAAGGAATTATTTGCAACAACTACTCTGATTGGTCTAACCAGCACACTGGTAGATATGTTCTTTTATGAAATTTTTACGTTCCAAACACAATTTGCAACTGAAGGATGGACATGGCTAACTGGTACAAATGTGGAAAGTATAGAAGCACTACAAATTCTGGACTTTTTTTTGCAAAAAATTCCATCATAAAAATGAAATATATTAAATAAAAAGCTTGTTTCATGGAAATAATGACAGATTTGCTCATACAGTTGTGAGCCCTATTACTTGTGTCTATTTTCATTTGAAAATTGATCAAAATATATACAGCTAATATTTGTAATTTAAAAATTTAGTTGGTTACCCCAAATGACCAATCATAACTTAGCAAAATTAATTTGCCATATCCATCCTTACGATACAATGACTGAGTGTACTCAATTCTCATTTACACCTAAACTGGTATCCTAACACAATCTATGACATTGCTATGATTACAAAGTTATCCTCTTTTGATAACTAACTTTTTGTTAATTACTGGTACATGTACAAATTGCCACACTTTTTATCAACAAATTCCAGTGTCTAATTCAAACTTGTTTGTCTCATTGAAACTGAGTATAAGTAATGAAAAACAAAAAAACTGAATCTGAAATAGTTACGTCTAGATCTGCTGGGTGAAAGTGTTCATTACACAAAGACTCGCATATAAACAAGGTATGGAGTGGCCAAAGCCAAAGGTGGTGTACGATTGTCCTAATTTACAACAGTTATATCATCTACGGCACATTATTGATATTTAACGCAAATAAGGAGAATGACATATTTTTGAATTAAGGCTCTGTTATGATATATTTCTGTGTATATGTAAATACCAGTTAATGACAGTTTTCACACTATTTAATTTACTACAGTATGTCAACTGCATTACCAATTTAGATGTGAAATAATACATCTAAATGGATCATCCAGCATGCAAAATCTTGAAAAATATGCAAATATAATCAAATAATTACCACATTTGCTATATTAGCAGAGTGCATCTTTAATATTAAAGGCATGTTAGACAAAAATGTTGGTCACATTTTAGATGCACTTAACTCACACTAAATTTATTTATTCTAACACGTTATTTACATAGGTGCAAATACTGCTAATAGAGCAAACATAGTATTATACTTTAGTTATATGAATATGCTTAAAATAGTCCCCAAATTTAATATTTTATTTACTTTGTGGTTGACTTATAATAAGTAAATCAGATCTCAGATTTGTTTTAATGAGAATGTGAAAAGCCAGAAAAGATTTTCACATCAAAATGAGTCTTTTTTTATTTTGAGAGGACCATACTAAAACTGCTTCATGAGAGCTGACCATACTTTCTGCCACTTGCACACATACTGCTTTTGAATTCAGTTTCAAGAGTTATGTCATTCAAGTCAAGTTAGGTGATACATGACTTGATTCAAGCCAAGTTATGTTATAATAAGTGTTTTGAGTCTAGCTGAAAGATGAGAAGCAAGTGCAAAGTCAAGTTGTTGGATACATTGCAAATAATTATAAATCAGAGGCAGGGTCAGTAAGCTTGATAGAAAAAGGCAAACATATCTAAGAACCCTGTAGAACATTTTCTAATTCTCCTGTGTCTTTGAGTTCCTAAAAAGTAAACAAATAACAAACTGTAACCAAGTGTTTTCAAGAAACTTAGTCTCAGCTTTTCTAAAACTACACAAATATTGTACCATAACATCATTTCGTGAAAAGTGTGAAAATGTTAAAAATTCAGAAAGCAATCTCTTCTTGGAGTTTGAAATAATAGACAAAGTTCAAATACATATGCATAAAAAGAGAAATATCACTTGTTATATTTGTTTGTTGAAGGCGATTGATACAAATGATGGCATAAGTTAATAATTTCATTTTCGATTTGTGAATAATACAGCCTTTAATGAGCATGTACTTTATTCTCAAAATAGGCATGGGCATTTTAAAGAAAGCTAGCTCAACAAAACTACCAAATATGATAAACGTTAACTTACTTTGATAATGTCTAATCCTCCAATCAATTCACCTTTTACATACAGCTGTGGATACGTTGGCCAATTGGAATATTTCTTTAAGCCTTGGCGAACCTCTTCATTTTGTAAAATGTCAAAAGTTTCAAATTTTATACTGAAAACCAAAATGTAATAAATCATTATTTTGCAGCATTTGACAACATTTGCATTATTTGATTGTGTACGTTTGTTATTTCAGTAAGTGACTAACAGAAATTGAGCATGGAGTCAATATGTAATTTATTTTTTTCTAAAATTCTTTTCAATTTCTTAAACCCTTTGAATGCCAAGTCAACTTTTGACACAATTCACAAAATATATTTGCATAATTTGCATATATATGCAATGTGAATTATTTTGATTTGGTCCAAAATTAACAAAAAAGAAGAAAATTGTGTTAAATGGACACCAGTTTTGGCAGAAAGAGTCCGGGCATTCAATTGGCTAAAATGTTATTTGCAAAGTTTCACTGCTGCATCTTGTGACTTTCTTGTACTTGCAAATGTATATTTGTCACAGAAAGCATACATTTGAATCTCATATCTGAGACAAATATCTTCCTATCAATTTCACATTTAATGCATAAATTATTTGATCTGCATGAACACATTAGTCTTCACTGATGGAGTAACATACCCATGCCTAACCATGCAAGACTGAGAGTTGGTAGGAGGTTGAGAGCACTTACCCGCTATCTTTCAATATTCCAACCATAGTATTACTGAAGCCACATTTGGGTGTCTCTGAGTTTCCTTTCATGAAAAGCATTACAGGAGCCTGATTTATCAAAGCCTTTAATCTGAAATTGAATAAACAAACTTCGAACTGATTGACTTGAACTGAGTGAGAAGTTCTGCACAATAAAATTCACACATGAATCATAACTACGATTAAATATGAAACATACCTATCTTCTAGACTGGTGGCTTTGGGGAGCACAGATTCCAGCTTCACCGTTCTCTTTCATTTCTTTGATGATATCCAGTCCCCCAATGAGCTCTCCATCAATATACAGCTGAGGATAAGTCGGCCAATTGGAAAACTTTTTCAATCCTAAAAGTGACAACTAAATCAGTTTAGGACAACTAATCATCAGGCTCGTAGATGCATACTTAACCATTGTGACTTTTCAATTCTATACTGTCTAGGATTCTGATGCTGGCTGTGTTGTTTTCTGTTGGTGGCTGTGTTGTTTTCTGGCGGTGGCTGTGTTGTTTTCTGTTGGTGGCTGTGTTGTTTTCTGTTGGTGGCTGTGTTGTTTGTGTTGTTTTCTGTTGGTGGCTG